ATACATACATACATACATATGTGTGACAATACATAAAGTTCGACAACTACATGCACATATACATTTACGTGTAAATACACACACATGTACATATGACTACATGTGTTATATGTACATATGTATACATATATAAACATACATATACATAAATACATGCGTATATATATATGTCTGTTTATATACATTTATATATGTATGGATTGGGGATGTTTAAACTTTGAGGTCCGGGGATATCCCTCTTGAATTCCCTTCCCTCCAGTAAGGCCCTGGCGACTCGTCGGGCTCTGCCGGCTCCGCCATTGCAGCTACAGAGAGGCTCTCTTAGAGCATGCAAACATGTACTGTGGTAATACTACTGAAACTAGTAAGATATACATAAGCACATGTATATGTACAATGTATATATATATATATGTATATACATGCACGTATACACATATACATACGTGCATACTTAGACGCATATGTTGGTGTATGTATACGTTCTCTTTGATTTGGACTGCTTCATGTCCAACGACAAGTCTGAAGGCTTCCAGGACCGTTATAAACCTATCTGGTGCCCTGTTCTCGTGCTGGGCTGCGCTGAAACCTTACTCGCCACTGAGCCTTCAAGCTGGGGTCGAGTACGGCAGAACAAGCGAAAATCGCCACCTCCGATGGAAGCTTCTCCATGAAAAGTACAGGATACTAGGCAGGAGAGGTCGAGCTTCCTTGCCCATCTGAATGCTGCCAAAGGCCCCAAAACTCAAAAACCTAAAATTTACCTCCTTCTCGTTAGCACTTACCCGCTCTGTCTCTGTCTGTCTGTCTGTCTGTCCGTCTGTCTTCTGTGACTCTCTGTCTCTCTCCCTAGCAAAACCGCTGATGGGCAGATGGAACTTGGCTTGGACTTTTTGTAATTTGTGTATATGTAAACATACATGTACAGATCTGAATGCAAATCTAACTCTATATATATATGTATATATATATATATAAGTGTGTGTCTACATATAGTCATATATGTACATATGATTCTGGCAACGGGAATGATTGCATCTACGCCTGCTCTACGTGCGACATGTGCATCATCCAGCTCTGAGCTAGACCTGACTTACGTGTAATAGCAAGTAGGGGCCCGTGGGGTTTAGAGTTTAGGGTTTAGGGTATGCGTGACCACTTCTCGTCTGAAGACCCCGGAGCAGAACCAAAGACCCTAAACCCCAAATCCCCGAAGGGCAAAAGCCTAACCCCCTAAACCCTAACACCCTAACACCCTACACGCCAACACCCTAACACCCCAACACCCTAACATCCTAACACCCTAACACCCTAAACCCTAACACCCTAAACCCCAACACCCTAAACCCTAACACCCTAAACCCTAAAACCCCAAACCCTAAACCCTAAACTTCCTACACCCTTACACCCTAGACCCTAACACCCTAAACCCTAAACTTGAACCCGAAGGCGGCAAAAAGAGCTTCCCAGCAGCCATGGCCTGGTTTAAGAACTGCATCAGCCTCGGCAAGACTGGGTTTAGGGTTTAGGGTTTAGGGGTTTAGGGTTTAGGGTTTAGGGCTTGGGGTTTAGGGTTTAGGGTTTAGGGTTGCGCTGAGAAGGAAGGCTCGCGGTTTCGGGCTCGGGGTTTAGGGTCTAGAGTCTAAGGCTCGGGTTTAGGATTTGGGGTTTAGGGTTTGGGGTTTAGGGTTTAAGGCTCGGGGTTTAGGGTTTGGGGTTTAGGGTTTCAACTTCCAAACAATGTGTAAGAACCTGGCTAAGAAACCCTGATCCTTGAACCTCAACATATTGGGATCCCTTTAAAGAACCCTTCCAGGGGCTTCAGTCATAGGGCTTCACCCTCAATTTAAAGGGACCTGAACAGCCGCAGACCTTCATGTGCCCGTTTGGGTCTTCGAGAGTTTGTGAGGTCCTGCTCCAGACCTCGGGTACTGTGAGGGCTACTACAAGGGTGACTGTCAGCCTGTGTTGAGACTGCTGCGGCTACATCTCCCGTGCGGGACAACGGGACAAGACAAACCCTAACCCCAAACCCTCCGACAGAAAATCTCACCCGAAGCCCCGACTGACCCCTCCGCAAAACCCTCAATTCGTAGGTCCGCAGTGCCCATTCATACTCCCCGTCCTTCAGCTACGAATAGGCCTGAATAGATAGGCCTTCTTCGTAGGTTTTCCTGGCACATTGCGAATGCGCCCTAAAGCCCTGAAAACCTCCATAAAAAAAATCAACCTATACAAAATTGTTTCAAAACCTTAAGAGCTGTTAAGAACCCCAGCGAAGCCTCAAAATGGCTACAATAAAATCAAGACAGCTTTAACAAAAAAGCTATAAGAGCCCATTCTAAGCAGTCAAGAGGCTGCTGGCCAGTGATGCCCGCTGGCAGGTTGCCCAAGTACAGCTCCCGGGCCGCCTTGGGTTTTTTGGGGTTGAAAGGCTTTGGGGCTTCAGGGGATTAAGGTCATAGGGTTTAAGGGCTTAGGGGTTTACGGTTTTAGCGGGTTTTAAGGTTTAGGGTTTAGGTTGTGTTTTGGGTCTTAGGGGTTTAGGGGTTCCTTAAAGGGATCTTTATGGCTTTAGGGTTTACAGTTTTAGGGTTTTAGGGTTTTAGGGTGTGGGGTTTAGGATTGAGGGGTTTAGGGCTTCAGGAGTTTGGGGTCTTAGGGTCTTTACCTGGACTTGAGAGGCTTTTGGAGTTTCCCGGGTTTGGGGGCATGGGGGTTAGGTGTAGCGTTCAGGGTTTGGGGTCCTTTTGGGCTTTCGATGGGGGCAGGCCTTCCTTCTATCAAGTTTCTACTGTTTCTCATGGCAAGTTGCATCTAACATGCATGTGTGTGTGTGTCCTACTTCTTACTTCTTTTGTCGTTCTTGAAACTGGTGTTCCTAAACCCTCAACCCTATTGAGATCCGCGAAGGCCTTGGAATCCGCCGCCAGAGCCATCGGATTCACGGTGTTTGAAACACCTGCCGCGGTCCATGAAATTGCCCGGGTGTGATAGCCTAATGTAAAGGGCCTTCGTAATGGGGTTTAATGAGGATTTAGGGCTTAAGAATATACTAGAAAACTACAGAGACCCCTGAATCCCTCGGGGGTTCGGGCCAAACCAGCTGGGAACTACGTGATGGAGCTGCCCTGGATTTCTTCAACTCGCGGATTGAGCTCAGCACACAAGTTAACGGACCTTCGCGAAGATCGGTGTGCAACTTCAACACCGTCGAAAGCAAATCGAGCCACAACCCTGCATTTTGAACAAGTTCCTTTATAAGCCCCGAAGCGAAAAGAAAAAGCAGGAAGACTGGCACACAGGCCACTGAAACCTAAACCCTGCACCGAAAAACCCGGCAAAGATCGCAGAGAATGAGAGCCCCTGTCGTTCACGAGAGGCACCTGATGGAACGCAAGACAAACCCCTCACCTATACCCTAAAACCTAAACCCTAACCCCTAAAACCCTTAAACCCTTAAACCCCAAACCCTATACCCTGAACCCTAAACCCTAACCCCTAAAACCCTTAAACCCATAAACCCTATACCCTGAACCCTAAACCCTTAAACCCTTAAACCCTATACCCTGAAACCCCAGAACCCTTAAACCTTTAAACCCTTAAACCCTTAAATCCTATACCCTGAACCCTAAACCCTACACCCCCAACCCAAAAAACCCTTAGAAGTTCAGAACCTTGGAGCCCTCGAAGGATTCCGTGAGAAGGCCTGCCAGCGCGAGACCGCCCTGGAGCGCTGCGGCGACGCCGCCTCCGAAGAAGACGAGGCTGTCGTAGATACGGTTGGTGATATAAATCCTGCATTACCCGTGATAAGGAATATACCATAATTTCCATAGTTTAGGGTCCTCAAGGTAATGCAGGATTTAGATCATCAACAGTAGTTTGTGGTTTCGGTGGTTTTTGGAGGGTTTAAAGGGGTTGTTTAGCGTCTGGCGATTCGGGTTTGCGGGTTTGGGGTTTAAAGTTGTCGGTTTAGGCTTTGGGACTTAGAGGCTTAGTGGACTTTTGGGTTTTAGGGTTGTACAGGAAAGGTTTCATGGGATGTGCTACAAGGCTCTGGTATGTGAGAAGGGGCTCTGTGAGGGCTCCTGCTGTCGGCTTCAGGTCTCGACGGGAGGCGTTGAGGGGTTGGGTTTGGCTTTAGAGATTTTTCCGGATTCTCCAAGCTAAAAACCCTAAACCCTAAACCCTAACCCTAAACTCTAAACCCTAAACCCTAAACCCTAAACTCTAAACCCTAAACCCTAAACCCTAAACCGGGGAGGGAGGGGAGTAGGGCTTCAGCATTAAGAGAGTCCGGAGTTGTGGGGGCTCTGCACTTTGAGCCTTGGGCTTCCGGAGTTTAGGGTTCTTTGTTTAAGCACCTTTTTCCGCCCAGCAGTTAAGGTCGGCAGAATCCACGTCGTGGAAGGCCGGTACCAGGAGCTTAGGGTTTAGGGTTTTTGGGTATTGTGTTTTGTGTTTTTGAGTTTAGCAAAGTTTAGCAACTTCAGGTAATAGGGCCTGGCAGCGGGCAGAGCAGCACACGCCGAGCGAATGGAGTCCGCAGCACACACAACACTCCATGGTGCTTCATGTATATAGCACATCCTTACGTCTGACGAGATGCGAATTTTTGATGCAAGCCCAAACCAACACATCCTCGCTTGAATGCCCTAAGCCCAGGCCGTCAGGGGACCATCCTCAACCCTGAACCCGAAAGCCCCCTTTTTTTGTAGCCCGAAAGAGTTTCCCCCTGCGATCTGGCCTATTCCCATCGGGTTGCCCGTAAGCATCGCGTCACGCTGGTACTCCTCCTCCTTTGGCGGACCTTTGCATTCCAAGTGGCTCTGCTGTGGGGCACTGAAGCGTCGAAGCTAAAGCGGCGAGAGGTGTCTTGCCAAGCTTTCTGGCTCAAGTTGTTGTGCGCATACGTCTCAGGAGTTTTGGGATGTTCTATCGGCCAGGGATTGAGTGACTGCTTTGAGCACATTGGGACACGTGTGCAGCCAAACCTCGGATGCGGATGCATGAAGGGTCGCCCCGAAGAAAAGCTTGGGGAAAGCTCATTCGGGGTATCTTAAACGTAGGCAGTAAGAATCCTATACTAGCTTAAAGTCCAAAACCCTAAACCCAAAACCCAAAACCCTGCAACTCCCACTTAACAGGTCGGCCAGCTTTCCCAGAACCCCAATTTTTGGCTAATTTTTGCGATTGCACCTGAGCAGAGAAACCAGAGGAGCCGCCGGACCGGGACTCAGCCCTCCGGCGCACTTCGGACAGGCCCCTGAGCTTCACATCTAGACCCTGAACCCTAAACCCCTAAAGCCCTAAACCCCTAAACCCCTAAACCCCCAAACCCCCCGTAAACCCCTGGACCCCAAGCCCTAAACCCTAAACCCCAATCCCACAAGGGGATGGTAGTACACCTTACTCGGCCTCTGCATTACATCGAGACCCCCGCTGTCGAAACGCCATCGCCGATACTGCCTCGATGCCGGTTCCCCAAACGGCTTGGGTTAGGGTTTAGGGTTTAGGGTTTAGGATTTAGGGTTTAGGATTTAGGGTTTAGGGCCCCAAACGGCTAGGGTTAGGGTTTAGTGGATTTAGGAGGGTACGAACTGGGAAATTCGTGCTCGCAGCAACACGGCAGGTTGAGGGTTTAGGTGAGGAAAGCACCGGTCATGTTGCAACACTTTGTCTCTACCACCGCACCTACAAATCCTGCGCTACAAAGCAGAGACTCTATGCGCTGCTCCAGAAGGAGCGCATGGCAGGAAGGACGGAGACCGGCCAGAAGCCTACTACCACAAAGTAGGGCCTTGTTTTAGGGTTTAGGGGTTAGGGTATAGGGTTTAGGGTTTAGGGTTTAGGGTAGATCTATGGAAGCAAGGCCCTTTGAGCAAACGATCGGAAAGTCACGGAGGCCTGTTCTTGACATCCTTGTCTTTGGAAGCGGTTTTGGAGAGGGGGCTTCGAAGACTCGTGTAACAATCATAGGGGAGCCTGTCTAAAGCGCAAAAGGGCCAAAGCTCCATCAAGAATCCCAGTGAGCCACGAGACACCCACAGACATTCTAGGCTCTGGTACAACCGAAAGAAAACACATGCTTGCTCAAAAACTGGCTTCTGAAACGGGCGAGGATCTCCCCTGACACCAACCGTCATCAGAAGAGAATCCCCACGCCGTTCCAACAGCGCGCTTGCAAATAGTAAGACACTGTTGGTACCATGTCTGATTACAGAACACCACGCACTACAGAACGCAGTTCGGCCCAGAGGTCCCCTCCAAACCGTTTTGTTTTCTATCAAGCCCGGGTGTTTAGTCTGCAACGCGTAGGCCCCGACGTTACACCGAAAGCAAACCTGCAACCGCTGTTACCTCCAGTGACAGTTCAAGCACAGAAGATCATAGAATATCCACATACAGCCTGCGCTGCATGCCCTGCATGCCCCCGTCTACGTCTGCCCCGAGGCGCTTCTCATCCCTCCATCCCTGAACCCTCATAGAAACCCTAAACCCTAGAACCCGACGCCCTGACTCAACCCTCTGTCCCCTAAGCCCCAAAAATTTAGGGCTTATAGGGTTTAGGGCTTAGGGTTTAGGGCCTAGGGTTTAGGGTAAGGTTTAGGGCTTATAGGGTTTAGGGTTTAGGGGATTCCGATGCCAAAGCTGCATGGAAGGACTCCGCTTCCGGGGCTCCTCCTGGCTCCAACGGCGGAAACAGATCTTCGAGTTCAGCTGAGAGGGGCTTCGAGTTTGGGGGGTTAGGGTGCTAGGGCTTAGGGCTTAGGGTTTAGAGGCTCTATAGAAGATAGGAGTTCGGGCCATGCTTTGTTTTGGGGGCTCAAACCGCTTATCTGGTTTATAAGGCTTCGGACCAGGATGTAGAAGCCTTGATAACTAGAGCCGGCCTTTGGGGATGCAGCAGGGCTCGGTGCATGGGTGCTTTCTGTTCAGAGGTCTTAGGGCTTAGGGTTTAGGGTTTAGGGTTTTTGGGCTCTTGAGGCTACGGCGATGCTCCGGAGACATCACCACAGCGGGTTAGACCCCTACGCTCCCCAAAACTCACACTCTATAAAGTGGCCTTACTGTCATCTGCCCTTGGCCGCTTGATGGGCGATGAGCAGAACGTTGATCCCGAGTCCCTCATCCCCATGAGGAATACCCTAAACCCTAAACCCTAGCCCCATTTCCCATTCCCTTCATGACATCACAGGAGGGCCTCTGGTGGCGGAGCCTTCTCCTCAAGGCGTGTCAGGGCTCGAGCTCATGCTTTCCCTATTCAAGGTGCTCTGCTAAGACTCCCACACCACAAAGCCGACAGCGGTCTTGAACCCCTCACCGCCACATACATCTCAAGTCGTACAGTCTTGGCAAAATAGATTGTGGGTAAACACAAGGTATCGCTGTACCAGCCAGTCGGTCACGAGTCACTGTTTGCTGATGCAGCTTTCTTCCGTACGAATACATGAAACTTTGCGATGACCATGATCACCACCAGACTCATGCGGCTGCTGGTGAACCAGTGCCCGTGTTTGTCCTCGTACAAGTACTCTCACTGATACTACGTATCAATGGGAGTAACGGGCACCCTGAACCCTAAACCCCAAAGTCCCAAAGGTGCCTTCTCCTTCTTCTCTTTTTTCTCCTTCTTTTCCTTGTCCTTCTCGCGGGACCTGCTCGGAGCTTCAAGTCCAGAGAGTAAAGCTGAGCAGAGTGGCCTTGGAGGCGTTCAACAAGGAGACGAGCAAGACACGCACACACACACACACACAGAGACAGAGGTTTAAGGTTTAGGGTTTAGGGTTTAGGGTTTAGGGATGGCAAGCACGACTGCGACTGGCGACAGAGACCGGCGCAGACTAAATGCAAATGCGTGGTCCAGATTGAGGCAACCGTGCAGGTATGAGCAACTGAACACAACTTGGGCAAGCCAAAGAAGCTCCGACTTTCATAATGTAGGGGCCTTAATAATTAGAATAGGGCTTTGGGGGTTCCTTACTACAATTATGGTATGATATACCTCCAAATCCTAATCTAATTCAGTGGATGCACAAGTCATCTCAATCTTTCGTCGCATCAGACTCATGTCCGCTGGTACCTCCAAATCCTAATCTAATTATTAAGGTCCCTAATGTCCCTATATTAGCAATTTGGATCCTGACCACCTTGCTCCCATGGTGTTGTCTGCTAGCTTCGTGGGCCAGCGTCACAGCAACATGCGCTCGCCCGCCTTCAAAAAGTTCTTTTCCCAAATTGGTTTGCTGATCGCTATGTCCCTGGTCCAAACGCGTGAAAAATGCAAGATGCCTTAAAGACTCTAGCTTCACAGGCTCAACTTCATGTGCAGCTACGGAGCATTGCGTTGGTTCTCAAACATAACGTCAAAATGCATCATTGACCCGGAACCCTAAACCTAAACCCTAAACCCTCAAGCCCTGCATCATCTAATTTTGAAGGCATGAACCCAAACAACACAAAGGAGGAGCCTTCCAAAGATCCCTATACTCCAAGTAAACCCTAAACCCTCTAACCTTAAACCTTTAGGCCCCTAAGAACCCTGAACCCTGAACCATGAAGCTTGAACCTTAAGCTTGAAGCCTTAAGCTTTTGAACCCGTAAAACCGAAACCCTAAACCCTGAACCCTAAACCCTGAACCCTAAACCCTGAAGCATAACTTTGCCCTGCCAGTCCTAACCCCGCATTGCTGCCTGCTCCTCTTCTTTTCTCGCTTCTCGCGAGATCTGCTACGCTTCTTCTCCTGGGCCCGGGCCCACCACCGGTCACATGGCAAGGGTTGAGGCTTTAGGGCTTTAGGGCTTGGGGTTTGGTCGTTCGGGTCTTCGGGGTCCATAAGGTCCTTAGGGTTTGGGGTGGAGCCTTTGGACCAACCTCAAAGCCCTATGATGGTACCCTTGTGGAGCCCTCAAAGGAACCAGTAAGCCTACACAGCTCCATACAACCCGTGACTGGGTCCGTTGCTTTGTCCTTCTTCTTCTCGTCGTCCCGCCTTGCCAGCCGAAGGACAAGCTTTCGATCTACAGATGTAAACCAAAAAATTAGGGGCCCTGATATAGAATCCTGATGGTAAGGAAACGCCTTCTTTTTGAAGAACCTCAAGAGTCAGGCCGCAGCAGAGAGAAAACCGCATTCATGACCAGACAAGGGCCGTAAACATGAGCTGTCAGTTTACGCAATGGTTCTGGTGTGAAGATACAGGAACAACGATGGATTTGCCGCTACAAGTTATTGAGGCTTCATACCACCGTATTTTACGGGTAGTCACTTATAGGGTTCTTTTTATGAGGGTGCCGTAGTATTTCTGCGCCCTACAAAGGGACCGTAATTTAGAGAGCTACCAATATCAAGTGTACAAGCTTTGGTGAGCTCCCATAACCAGCATCTTCGAACCAGGGGGTGGCACGAGGCTTCACCAGATCTTTGGAGTATTTCGACTTAGGGGTTTAATTAAAGTTTAATTAGGGTTTAGGGTTTCGGGTTTAACTTCTGGGACTTTGCGCCTTGCCCTGCGGAGCTTAGCTGGGCGTTTACCTTACGCTTGGCAGAGCTTTCTTCCCAGCCTCTTCTCACGAGACCGAGAGCGCGCCTGACATGCGAAAGTGCTCGAAAACGACACATCTCCGGAGAATCTGCGGCTGATACCCCGACTTGAAGGATCACAGGAGTGTTTAGGTCATGATTGGGGACATAAGCACTCCGTTGGGAGTTGTCCAATACTCTCTCTTTAAACGGACGCTCTGTCCCCATTTCGGCTTCAGGCTGTACCAGACA